TGATGGTAGGCAATGGGCATGAATGCTAGCACCTTCTTTGATTACATACAAAGTGCAATCTCTTTTCAGTGGAAGAGAGAGAAATCCAAAGGAGAGCATTAAAAAACATTTTTAAATGTACAAAGTGAAATTTCTAGACAAAGGCAGTGCTGTATTCACGACCTGGTGCAGAAAACCTGAACCATGACACACAGGATGGAAATATCTGACCTGAATATTTCTATGCTGCACACTTATATTTAGAAGGTACTCATTCCGCGTATGCTGGAAGAGAATGCAGAGGCCACTCGTCCACTAGGCCACACGTGTCCTTTTCAGAGTCTTCCCTCATCCTCTTTCGTTCTAGGTATAAAACTAGGTTGAGTTACAGCATAATCAACTGGAGACAACTGAGCAACTGATAAGCAAAAGGAGACCTATCTGAGGATACTTGATCAAGCAGTAAAATATAAAACTGGAAAGGGAAAATCCAGTGACTTTGGAGAACAGTCCCGTGATAAGAGATTTGCACCAAGCAAGGGCCTCAGGACATATTGTAAGTTTGCTGCTGGAAGAGCTTCGAGAAGCGTGGAAAAAGTAAGGTCTCCACCGTGAAGTTAAGATGCCAGAATTGTTATGTGGATTGAAAGGTGCAAGGAAATGGGAATGATGAATTGGACACCTGAGCAAAGGGGTCAGTAGGTAATAAAGTTCCACGAGAATGTCCAGGGACGCTATCATGAGAATTGTGTGGGGGAGAAGAAAACCAGTCTTTCTGAAACATCCAGTAGAGGTCGCCATAGGCCAGGGCTGAGGGTGGGAAAGGGCATTGCCAAGCTTGGCTCACTGAAGCAGTTAGCAACCATTCCTTGAAAAAACACTTGGCAAGTTACTGACTCCATTAGGCCCCGAGCATTCTGGAAGGGCTGGTGATGCATTCTAACAGTAGTAGACCCGATTTCTGGTCGTGAATTTGCCTCATCTCACTGCAGATAAGGCCCTGAGCAGCACTAAGTACCACTAATAGCCAAAGGTATCTGGAATGTTGGATCCACTAGTCTGGTATTCCTATATAATACCATATCAGAACAGGGTACACATTTCACAGGAAAGGAATTGGAGAAGTGGGCCAAATCATGAGATATATGGGTTGTAGATCAGAAAAAATGACATAGGAGATACCAGCCCAATAAGCTTTGAAACATGTACTGAAGTGCAGCTAGAGCTGAAGATGAAACACTGGTTGTGAGGCAATATACCATGAGGACAGCATACAATTCCTGGGACAGATGGTATGAGTGGACCAGAGCCTATTGCAAGGGTCTGAAAATCAAAGACCAGAAATATGAGGGGCTTCATATACCATAAATCCCAATGATTTGCTGAAGCTGTGTGAGCTTCCTGTCATGTATAAACTTGGACTCTATAAGGCTGGAGGACCTGGCCCCCAAAGGGGTCATATTTTGACCAGGGGTGAAGCTACAATATCAACGCATTATAAGTTAAAACTGTCACATGGGATTTTGAACTCGCACTTTCTTTCTACTAGGAGCAACAAAGTCACATCCTTGATAGGGATTATTGACCATAATCATCAAGAGGAGGCAGGGATTCTGGTTAGAACATGCAGATACTGGGGTATATGTATAGATCCAAGGTGATTTCCTTAGCAGCCTCCAGGTGTTCCTATTGCCCAGTGGTGACTATAGATTCAGACACCTCAACATGGATTGGACATAGTGATAAAGTTCTCAATCTACTGATAAGAGTGTGCATGATGACACATGGTATGCATTCAAGGCTATCAAAGTACTCACCAGTTGAGAATGAGGGAGGGGCCGGCACCATGGCTTACTGGGTTAATCCTCTGCCTGCAGCACCGGCATCCCATATGGGCACTGGGTTCTAGTCCTGGTTGCTTCTCTCCCAGTCCATCTCTTTGCTGTGGCCTGGGAGGGCAGTAGAGGATGGCCCAAGTGCTTGGGCCCCTGCACCCGCATGGGAGACAAGGAAGAAGCACCTTGCTCCTGGCTTCAAATCAGTGCAGTGCCGGCCATTCCGCCCATTTGGGGAGTGAACCAATGGAAGGAAAACCTTTCTCTCTTTCTCTCACTCTCACTGTCTATAACTCTACCTGTCAAATAAATTTAAAAAGAGAGAGAATGAGGGAAACAAAGTGGCAAAAAGACAGAAACAATAAATATACTTTCATCCCCACTACTAAACACAGCATGGAGATGATTATACATGCCACTAACAATCCTGTTTTAAAGCTCCACACAGGAAGAGGTAACCTTGGCAATCCATGAAGGGTTGTTGCCAGACATAAAGGAAAGTGAGCCACAGTTGTGCAACTATTGCAAATGGGATAAGCCACCAGGATCTGCCTTGGAGGAAGGTCTTGCTGACCAGCTAGTGATCAGTAGACAGCCTGCAGATGTGAATTTTTCACTTCAGCCTGAGTTACAGAGAGGAGCCCACCAAATTCACACTTTTTCCAGGGTGAACATGCAATGAGGGGGGCAGCGCTGTGGCATTGCAGATAAAGCCACTGCCTGCAGTGCTTGCATCCCATATGGATGCTAGTATGAGTCCCGGCTGCTCCACTTCTGATCCAGCTCTCTGCTGTGGCCTGGGAATGCATAAGATAGCCCAAGTCCTTGAGCCCCTGCACCCACGTGGGAGATCTAGAAGAAGCTCCTGGCTGCTGGCTTCAGATCGGCCCAGTTCCAGCTGTTGCGGCCAACTTGGGAGTGAAGCAGCAGATGGAAGAATCCCCTCACCCCACCTCACCTCTGCCTCTGTATCTCTGTATCTCTGTAATGCTGCCTTTCAAATAAATAAATCTTTTCTAAAAAGAGCAGTGAGAGGGGCTGGTGCCGTGGCTCACTTGGTTATCCTCCGCCTGTGGCACCAGCATCCCATATGGGCACCGGTTCTAGTCCCGGTTGCTCCTCTTCCAATCCATCTCTCTGCTGTGGCCCAGGACGGCAGTAGAAGATGGCCTAAGTCCTTGGGCCCCTGCACCCTCATGGGAGACCAGGAAGAAGCACCTGGCTCCTGGCTTCGGATTGACGCAGCTCCGGCTGTTGCGCTCATTTAGGGAGTGAACCAATGGAAGGAAGACCTTTGTCTCTGTTTCTCTCTCTCACTGTCTATGACTCTACCTGATGAATAAATAAATAAATAAATAAATAAATAAATAAATAAATAAATAAAAACAGCAGTTAGAAGGTAATGAAATTCAGGCCACTATGGCCCCCAACTCAGAAAACTCATCAAATAACATTTCACTGAGACTGGCCAGGGTGGGAGACTTTTCACCTGTACCTCTGAATTCCTTGCCCTCTTTTCACCGCTTTTCCTGTCTAATATGCTTTTTCACTCTAGGCTGAAACTCAGTGTTTGCTATTGGGGAATGCAATTTTCTAAATAAAAAGAGAAAAATGATGCAAATTAGGGAAAATGGTTTTTAATGTTGCTGAATAGACAGCAAATTAAGAAAAATTAAGGATTAGGTGCTGTAATGTTTAAGGCTTATCACAGGGGCATGAGCTGCCATGGAATTATTGTCTAGCAGCTCAACATGTCCCGCCTGTATTATTAAAAGAAAAAAGTTAGAGAATCTTTTAAAGGAAATACGGGGATTAGTTGCTCTCTCCCTCTTCTTCCTCTTCTTCCTCTTCTTCCTCTCCTTCATCTTCTCCCTCTTCTCCCTCTTCCTTTGCTTTCTTTTCCTCCCCTGCTTCCTCTTTGGGCTTTTCTTTCTTACACAGCACAAGGAAGCAATACAAACATGAAAGAATCAAAGGAATGAGGAGTAATGTGGATGGAAGAAGCATTATTTTGTTTTGAGTTGATCCTGGCACTGGTGGGTTCTCCTCAGGTGGCAGTGGTGGTGCTGGACCACTATCTACACTACCCCCAGGGCCCCTGATAGTACAGTTGGGAGGTGCCCATCCTGGGTGACAGTGACAGTGCTGTTTATTATTGCAGACCCCACTCATGTTGCAATGCTGAGTCTGACAGGTTTCTGATGCTTTAACCATATCGACACATTTCCTGCGGAGGCACATCTTGCCTGGAGCACACACCGTGCCATCTTTCACTTCACCGATATCAGGTACGGACATCCCTAGGTGATAATCAGTGCCCCAGCAAGTGGTGCCATTGAGGTGAAACTGATGCACCGTAGAATGTTCTATCAGTGTTGGAATTGTGAGCACATTTTCACACTGAACTCTCCCACACATGACATCAGGAGCCATACACTTTACATATGTGGTGCCTTCAATACCACAGTGGCCAAAACGAGTTCCTTGGGTGTTCATTTCATTGTAGCAACTTTCAGATGCACTCAGGGCCTCTGTGCCAAAAATCTGCTTACACTGAGAATCGTGGTTATTACATGCATTTTCATAGCAGTAGGAATTTGTGCTACAGAGGATACCATCCTGTTTATATACATCATCTGGGCACTCATGTGACGTCCCGTTGCACCACTCGGGAAGGTCACATTCATTGGCTGGATGCCTACATACAGTCCCTTGTGGCAGGAGTTCACAGTCTTTGCAACAACCTCCAAATGCACAAGCTGCCCCAGGCTTCAGAACACAGTCAAACAGACAACAAGGATCTTCTATACACTCCAGGAATGATCCACAGTCACACTGCTCTCCATCTTCAACCACACGGTTCCCACAAATATTCATCCTTAAAACATGCTCTGGATTTCCAGGAGAGAGAATACACGTTCCAGTAACCATGGTATTCGCCAAATATTGGGAATAACTGCAGTTGCTGAATCGCCGTGAGGCCTCTCTGCTGGGATGCATAATGCAAAACTGTTCTCCACAAGTACACCATTTTTCATCATGCAACATACCCAGACTATGACCAAGCTCATGGGTCAAAGTATGTGCAATAATGTCTAACCTGTGGTCTTGAAAGACATCAACTCCACAATTAATACGATGTCGGCATACCCCACTAACATATGCAACGCCAAGGGCACCATTAAATTCTTTTATGATAAGGTGCGCAACATCATGGTGAAGACGGCCATCAAAATTCAAAGATTTCCAAAGAGAAAATCTATTCAAAACTGGATCTATCTCACCACTTGTTTCTATTGGGTTTCCATTATTCCAAATTTCAATCCCTGTCAAAACCACATCAATCTGTATGTGGTAATAATATTCATCCACCATATTAATTATATCAAATATTTCTAACATCACTATTGTCTCATTACTTTGAGAGTACTCGAATCTAAAATAGTCCACAACCACTCCCAGCTCAACAAATCGCCAGTGGGCCCACCAATTCAGATGAGAACGTGGTTTCAGAGAGAAATTGTATGATGCTTGAAATGCCCATTGGCGTGCTATTGACTCTTCTGTTAACCCACATCTCATGTGCGGGGACTCTGTCTCATCACTGCCTACCTGATACATCAGGTGCTCAAATGTGGTAGAGTGCCTGATGGGTTCAATTTCATACATGAGGTCATTTATCTGTAGCATTCCTCGAAATCCCCCAGAACAGGTGCTGAGGGCAACCAGAGACTCGGGGGCCCCCTCCACGTAACCATGATAGTAACAGTCATCAGGGACAAAGGGATGATCCTCCTGGAGGCCATGCTGCTCTGTGTAGGTGAACACAGGGAGGTGTGTGGAAACCAACAGCCTCTTGACCCTCATGTGGACAATGTGCCTCTGGCCCCCAATCCGCAGGCGGTAGGAGAGCCATCCTGGAGCCTTTGCACCTCTACCCCTGCTGGTCACCTTCGAGGGGATCACCACTTCCGGGGAGCTGAAATGCTGGGAGGGCCTGGCCTGGGAGAGGCCATGAATGGACAGAGATACCTCAAGGCAGAGCAGCAGAAGAGTGATCCTGGTGTGCATCAGGGCCCCACACACTGCCATTATGGAGCAGTCGTTATGGAGCCATTGTGCAGAAAAAAAGAGAGTAGGGTGTGAGGAACTGCTGGTCTGGTTCCTCCCTCTGAGCTGTTCAGGGTCCAGGATGAACTTTTCAGATCCGTATCCTGGCAGAGGTGGACCATCAGAGCGGCTGGGCTGAAAGTTAAAATAAAAAGCGGAGCTAGGAAAGGGCTGGGGAGGGTAGGAAGGGTGGGAAAGAGAAAGAAGAAAGTGAGACTAACATGATTCTTGATTTGGGATCATGGCTGAAACAGTAAAATGCATGGAATTGGTCTAAACTAAGTACTGGGAATGGGAGTTTCCAATGGTTAAAAAAAGATTGGAACTAGGTGAGCAATTGCTGAATTTGGATGGTGAATATCAATACAATTTTTCAAATGGCATGAGAACCAAATATCTCTTGCATCAAAAATGTGCTGGCTTCCTGCACGTTCAGCATGTATGTGAACAACTCATTTTTGTTTTTCTTGTTGCTGTTATCTCCATCTCCCTTTCAATTCCATAGACATCTTAAGTCTACTCTGCTCTGTTCTATTTATCAGTCATAAAATCCTCCACTTAAAGGGTTCATAGGAAGACCTGAAATCAAAAAAAATCTTCTTTTATAATGAATTATATTCCATACAGAAGCCCACCACATTCAGAGAAAAGTAGGCATATTTATTGGAGACCTGGAGGAAGTACCTGATTTCTGGCTTCGGATTGGCGCAGCGCGCCGGCCGTAGCAACCATTTGGGGATGAACCAACGGAAGGAAGACTTTTCTCTCTGTCTCTCTCTCTCACTGTCTAACTCTGCCTGTCAAAAAAAAAAGAAAAGAAAAGAAAAGAAAGAAAGTAGGCATACTTGTTGGGTAATTGCAAGTGGCACATGTGTTTGGGACCAGGAACACTGCCCACGTGTCTCCAACCACATAATGGGGACAGCAGCCTTCTCATCAAACAGCTTGCATCAGCTACTGAATCCTAACATGACCATTAGGTTAATCAATGTAGCTTATTTTCTGGTTTTCACAAGGTGCCCCAGATCTAACCATTTCATTTCAATTTTCCAAGTAAAGCTTCAATGGGAGGTTTAACCTTAGAGTAAGTTCATTAAAATGTACAGAGGACTAAACTTTCAGCATTTTAAATCTCATTAACATTTAAAATATAAATTTTGGTTCAGACAAAATCATTTCGGCAATTGGCTGACTTTCACATCACTATATCATTAATAATATAGTATTTGAAATAAAAAGTTAAGCTCGGAGACACACTGTTAACAGACACTACTGTCTTCAATACCGTGAATATGGATACATGCAACATTAGCAGTATAGAGTATGAGCAATGTTTCGCATTATGATGACAAGGAAGCAGTGACAAATCTGGGCAGCATGCCAAAACTAATAGGTGGCTGCCAGATGCCAGGAGAGGAAACCAGGATCACGGATGAAACCTCTGGCCAAGCATCTCTAATGCAGGTGAAGTCCTCTTGTCTCTCTTATCATATCCTTTGCATAGAGTAGTCGTAAGCAAATGAGATGTACCAAGGTTTTGAAGTGAATTTGTTTTCTATACAATGTACCAAATTATCACAAATTCAGCAGCTTAAAATAATGGATATTTATTATCTCACAGGTTCCATGGTTGAAGAATATAGGCATAGCCTCCAGTGCTAGGCTCTTGGCAACAAGCAATTTGCCAGCTAAACTTCATTGGCATCAAAGACCATATTGGATTCAGATTTGATGTCAAGCTGGCTCATGTTGTGGATTTCATAACCTTTCATCTGTAGAACTCATGGCAACTGGCTTTTGCTTGATCCAGGAAGAAAGAAACAATATGTGCTTCAAGTCTCACCTCCAGATCTTTTATAAACTGGAGAAACTATGGCCACCTAGGTAGTTCACAAGCCAGACACAGAAAGACAAATGCGGCATGTTCTCCCTTATCTTATGCATGGGGATTAAATTTTTAAAAAAATCAAAAAAACTGAAAAAGAAATGCCTGTGTACCTCACTATTGCTGCAAATACAGTTTTGTCAAACATTGATTTGTATCTTTCTTAAACAAATGATTAAGAATGATATATTTTTATACTTTTAATGATTTGTGATTATTTAAAAATTTACTGAATAGCAGGGAAATGGTCATGCTTTCATTTGATTATTTTTACAGCCCTTGCCTATAAACCCACAAAACGAGGGCCTTTGTACATTTTACTTTTAAACACTTTATTTACTGGAGCATTAAGCCCTAGACTGCAATGTAAATTAAAAGCATGCTATATCAAAACTTAAAAAGAAAGAGAGACAGAAGTAGGCATGGAGGGAGGAGAGGGGGAAGTAAGGAAGAAACAATTTATCAACTACACTGAATATGTTCTCTTTGTATTAATATCACATTAACATGAGAATTGATGTGAAAATAATTTTGAAACTAAAGGACAAATTTATGGCCTCCTTAAGAATAAATGCAGCTATCACTCAGCAAAATAAATAAATAAATAAATAAATAAATAAATAAATAAAAGAGAAGGGTAGAGAAAAGAAGAGAAGGAAAGGAAAATAGAAAACTCAGTTAAGGAACTTAATCACATGAAATTTCCTGGATGACATAATAGAAGTACAAGTAATAAAACCAAAAATAGACAACTGGGATGACATCAAGCTAAGAAGCTACTGCACAGCAAAAGAAATACAAAGTGTTGACAAAGCAAAGAGGCAACCAACAGAATGGGAGAAAATGCTTTCAAACTATATATCTGATAAAGAATTATTATCCAGAATATATAAGGAGCTCAGAAACTCAACAACAACAAAACAAACAGTCTAATTAAGAAACTGGCAAAGGAATGAATAGCCATTTTTCAAAGGATGAAATACAAATGACTCAACAGACAAATGAAAAATCGTGCAGGACCACTAGTTACTAGGGAGATACAAATACAAACCACAAAGAGGTTTCACCTCACCCTAGTTAAAATAGCTATCATCTAACTATAAAGACAACCAACACTGGGGCAGGGGGATGTTGAGGAAAAGATACTCTAATACAGTATTCATGGGAATGTAAACGATACCACTATTGTTGGGGACAGTATGGAGATTCCTCAGGACCTAAAACTAGATCTATGATAATACCCAGCCATCACTCTTGGGAATATACCCAAAAGAAATGAAGTCACCATATGGAGAGTTATTTGTACCCCCGTGTTTACAGAACCTAAATTCACAATAGCTAAGATATGAAATCAATCCAGATGTCCATCAACAGATAACTAGGTAAACAAAATGTGGTACATGACATAATGAAATACTACTCAGCCATAAAAATAATGAAATCATGGTTTTTGCAACAAAACGGATGCATATGGAAACTACTATGCTGAGTGAAATAATCCAGACCCCAAAATAAAAACATCACATTTTAAAAAAATAAAATTTAAATATATATGAAGGAAATTGCTATCTTACGAGTTGATTATTATATAGAGCCATTGTCTATAAATGTGTTGAACGATGGTTTTATACTTTTTAATTTGTTGATCACTTTATTTAGTGGAACATTAAGCATATGACTATAAAGTAAATTAAAATATGTTATCAGATAGCAGCTTTACCCACTTTGCCACAACAGCAAGGACCTTTAAAAATTTATTTTTTATTTGAAAGTCAGAGTTACACATAGAAAGGGAGAGGGGAGGGAGAGGGGAAGGGGAAAGGAAGAGGAAGGGAATTTACCAAAATGAAATGAAATCAGCATATGAAACAGTTATATGCACCCCCCCATGTTTATTGCAGCTCAATTCACAATAGCTAAGATATGGAATCAACCCAGATGTCCATTAACTGATGACTGGATAAAGAGAAAGTGCTATATATACACTATGGAATACTACTCACTCACAAAAAAGAATGAAATTCTGTTTTTTTTTGTAAGTAAATGGATGCAACTGGAAACCATTATGCTTAGTGAAATAAGCCAGTCCCCAAAGGACAAATATCATATGTTTTCTCTGATATGCAGCATTTAATATAGAATATCAAAAAACATATAGGAATAAAATGGAATTCCTGTGATATGACTGTTATTTTTAACCCTTACTTATACTTCTGTGGAACTTTGGTTTTCCTGCTTTTTACTTTTTGAATACTATGGTTAGTGGGGAATTAAGCCTGTGATTATAGAGTAGATTGAAAGTGTATCTGCAAAAAAATTAAAGGAAGGAGGTTGAAGGAAGGAGAAGGGAAGGAGGGAAGTTTTGCTGCCTCCTTAGAACTGTCCCTATGGTAGCTCACGTCAAGAGCCTCGGGTGGTGACTGATGTCATACATAAGAGTGTTAATTGTTAAATTAAGAACAAGAGTCACTGTGCACTAACTTCCCATGCAGGACCTCTGTCTTCAGTGAGTTGTATTAAGAGAATTAACTGTAAAATGTGTTCACAGTTTGTGTGTGTGTGTCTGTGTGTGCAAGTTGTTGAAATCTTAGCATAGAATTGGTCTTCTGTGTATAAAGTTAATTGAAAATTAATCTTAATGGAGAATGGGAATGGGAGAAGGAGGAGGAGGGGTGGGAGTGTGGGTGGGAGGGTGGGTATGGTGGGAAGAATAACTATATTCCTAAAGTTGTACTTATGAAATTTGTATTCCTTAAATAAAAGTTTTCTTTGGGAAAAATATGTTATCACAAAAAATATCACAGAACATTTATAATATACTAGGTAAGAAGCAGGTTAGAGATTTCACCCATCCCACCCAAGCACATGGAAAGGAGTTACACAAAGACTCTAAGGCAGGGGAATAAAATGAAAGAATCTTAGAATTGAGCCTACAACAAGAGGTACTGATAAAATAGTAGCTCTAAGAACAAAAGCATTGAAGGATTCCTCTTAAATGCCTTTCATGAACTACAAAACAGCTAGAGAATATCTGATGGCAAGCAATAGACATGCGCACCAGCATCCTCTCTGATTCTATACAAAATAGCAATTTCCTGCCAATGGAGGAGAGAGAAATCTATAGGATAAAATCGAAAAGGTTTGTTTAAATTTAAACAGGTAGGTGTGGAGGAAACACAATTGGCTCAGTAGAGGGGTTGTGCACTGACCTTAGCAACAGAGAAGAACCAAAACAAGGGGAGGACTGTATTTACAGAGAACTTTAGTTAATATGTGATAAGAATACAAAGACTCAGAATGGCAACATGCACACCACAGCATGGAGACTATGGTTCATCCCACTAACTTCCCTTTGTTAATGTCTCCACCAGGGGTTGTTGCCAGAACGTAAAAAGAAAAGTGAGCCAAGGTTGTGCACTCTAACAATGGGAAAAGCCATTGGGATCTGCCTGAGAGGAAGGCACTGCTCACCAGCTATCCACGACCTGTGGGGGCCTGCAGATGTCAACACTTCAGCCAGAGTTTCAGAAGGGCGCCTCACAGGCACTAACGTTTTCCAGGGTGAAAAAGCAATGAGGGGGTAAGAAGCTCAGGCCACGATGGCCCCACTCAGACAACTCAGATAATACTTCACTGAGACTGGCCAGGCAGGGAGTGTAGCTGGACTTCTCATCTGCACCTCTGACTTGTTCACCCTCTTTTTCACAGCCTTTACTGTCTAAAGTGATTTTTTTACCCTAAGATCCAACTCAGTGTCTGCTGCTGGAGACTACAAATTGCTATAAACGAGAATAATGATACAAATTAGGGAGAAATGAATGTTTAATATTGCTGAAAATGCTGCAAAGAAAGAGTATGTAGGAATCTCGAGATGTAATATTTAACGCTTATGACCTAAGCATAAGGTACCAACAAATTTTTGTCTAAACAGTTAAACATGTCCCATTTCTATAACTAAAAGAATAATTAGAGATACTTTTGAAGGAAACAATAGTGCTAACCTTCCTCTCCCTTATCTCTCAATCCTCTTCACCTTCTTCTCCCTCTTCCTTTGCTTCCTCTTCTTCCTCTGCTTCCTCTTTGGGCTTTTCTTTCTTACACAGCACAAGGAAGCAATACAAACATGAAAGAATCAAAGGAATGAGGAGTAATGTGGATGGAAGAAGCATTATTTTGTTTCTAGTTGACACTGGCACTGGTGGGTTCTTATCAAATGGTACTGGTGGTGGTGGACCACTATCTACACTACCTCCAGAGCCCCTGACAGTACAGTTGGGAGGTGCCCATCCTGGGTGACAGTGACAGTGCTGTTTATTATTGCAGACCCCACTCATGTTGCAATGCTGAGTCTGACAGGTTTCTGATGCCTTAACCATATCGACACATTTCCTGCGGAGGCACATCTTGCCTGGAGCACACACCGTGCCATCTTTCACTTCACCGATATCAGGTATGGACATCCCTAGGTGATAATCAGTGCCCCAGCAAGTGGTGCCATTGAGGTGAAACTGATGCACTGTAGAATGTTCTACCAGTGTTGGAACTGTGAGCACATTTTCACACTGAACTCTCCCACACATGACATCAGGAGCCATACACTTTACATATGTGGTGCCTTCAATACCACAGTGGCCAAAACGAGTTCCTTGGGTGTTCATTTCATTGTAGCAACTTTCAGATGCACTCAGGGCCTCTGTGCCAAAAATCTGCTTACACTGAGAATCGTGGTTATTACATGCATTTTCATAGCAGTAGGAATTTGTGCTACAGAGGATACCATCCTGTTTATATACATCATCTGGGCACACGTGTGACATCCCATTGCACCACTCTGGAAGATCACATTCATTGGTCTGCTCCCTACATACAGTTCCTTGTGGCAGGAGTTCACAGTCTTTGCAACAACCTCCAAAAGCACAAGCAACCCCAGGCTTCAGAACACAGTCCATCAGACAACAAGGATCTTGGGAACACTCCTGTGAAGATCCACAGTCACATTCCTCCCCTTCTTCAACCACGCGGTTCCCACAGAAGCTCAACGTTACGACATGCTCTGGTTTTGCAGGAGACAATATACACGTTCCAGTATCCATGGTATTCGCCATATATTGGGAATAACTGCAGTTGCTGAATCGCCGTGAGGCCTCTCTGTTGGGATTCATTATGCAAAACTGTTCTCCACAAGTACACCATTCCTCATCGTGTGACATACCCAGACTATGGCCAAGCTCGTGGGTCAAAATAAGCGAAAAAGCACCCAACCTCTTGTCTTGAAATACATCAACTCCACAATTATGAGGATGTTGGCATACTCCTTTAATATAGGACACACCAATGCTGTCATGAAATTCTTTTATGATAAGATTTGCAACATCGTGGTGAAGACGATCATCAAAACTTGATGTTTTCCACATAGCAAATTGCTCTGAAACTGTATATAAATCACCAGTTATTTCAACTGGGTTTCCCTCACTCCAGATTTCAATCCCTGTCAAAATGACATCAACCTCTATGTGATAGTAAAGTTCATCCACCATATTAATTATATCAAATACTTCTAACATCACTACTGTCTCATTACTTTGAGAGTACTCGAATCTAAAATAGTCCACAACCACTGCTAGCTCAACAAATCGCCAGTGGGTCCACCAATTCAGATGAGAACGTGGTTTCAGAGAGAAATTGTATGATGCTTGAAATGCCCATTGGCGTGCTATTAACTCTTCTGTTAACCCACATCTCATGTGCGGGGACTCTGTCTCATCACTGCCTACCTGATACATCAGGTGCTCAAATGTGGTAGAGTGCCTGATGGGTTCAATTTCATACATGAGGTCATTTATCTGTAGCATTCCTCGAAATCCCCCAGAACAGGTGCTGAGGGCAACCAGAGACTCGGGGGCCCCCTCCACGTAACCATGATAGTAACAGTCATCAGGGACAAAGGGATGATCCTCCTGGAGGCCATGCTGCTCTGTGTAGGTGAACACAGGGAGGTGTGTGGAAACCAACAGCCTCTTGACCCTCATGTGGACAATGTGCCTCTGGCCCCCAATCCGCAGGCGGTAGGAGAGCCATCCTGGAGCCTTTGCACCTCTACCCGTGCTGGTCACCTTCGAGGGGATCACCACTTCCGGGGAGCTGAAATGCTGGGAGGGCCTGGCCTGGGAGAGGCCATGAATGGACAGAGATACCTCAAGGCAGAGCAGCAGAAGAGTGATCCTGGTGTGCATCAGGGCCCCACACACTGCCATTATGGAGCAGTCGTTATGGAGCCATTGTGCAGAAAAAAAGAGAGTAGGGTGTGAGGAACTGCTGGTCTGGTTCCTCCCTCTGAGCTGTTCAGGGTCCAGGATGAACTTTTCAGATCCGTATCCTGGCAGAGGTGGACCATCAGAGTGGCTGGGCTGAAAGTTAAAATAAAAAGTGGAGCTAGGAAAGGGCTGGGGAGGGTAGGAAGGGTGGGAAAGAGAAAGAAGAAAGTGAGACTAACATGATTCTTGATTTGGGATCATGGCTGAAACAGTAAAATGCATGGAATTGGTCTAAACTAAGTACTGGGAATGGGAGTTTCCAATGGTTAAAAAAAGAAAGATTGGAATTAGGTGGTAAATGCCCAAATGTGGATGGTGGATATGAGATGATTCAACATACAGTGTTTTTGATATAAAATTGCAATAAATATTTCCTCAGGCATGTGACTCAAATTTCTGCCATTATGGAGTAGTTATTTGGAGCCATTATGGAGCTGAAGCTGTACTCAGCGTGTATGTGGACAACTCATTTTTGTTTCTTTCTTAATGTTGTTAGCTTCAGCTTCATTTCAATTCCATAGAAATCTTACGTAAACTGTGTTCCATGCTTTTTAACAGTCATAAAGTCTTTAATTAGAAGGCTTATAAGAATACATTTTGCCATATAAAATATGTATTTTATAACTAATTTTTTTCTATTCAGAAGTCCATCATAGTGGAAGGCAGGCATACTAGACAGGTAACTAGGAGTGAGACATGTGTTTGGGGACCAGGTACAGAGCCTGGCTGCCTCCAATCACATCATGGAAGCAGCTGACTTCTTACCACACAGTCTGCATTGCATTGAATACTAATACAGTCATCTTTGAAAATAAATATAGATTAGTTTCTAGTTTTTACAAGGCTTATGTTTACCCAGATCTATGCATTTCATTTAAAGCTGCAATAAGGAGTTTACCCCTGGAGTAACTTCATTAAAATGTTGGCTTGAGTTTTGTTGCATTTTGTGTACAGAGTATGAGCAATGTTTAGCATTGTGATTATAGCATTCCGGGACAAATCTGGGTAGGATTCCAAAATTAATGGATGGCTACCAGATGTATCAAGATGAAACCAGGATCATGGATGAAACCTCAGGCAAATTCTCTCTAAAGTAGGTAAAATCCTAACACTGGTTTTCCTATTCTTACTTCATTATATACTTTGTGTTTGTCATGACATTTAGCATGTTAAGATGAGAATGGATGAACTGGAAAATGACTATCACCCATAAGAAGAGGCTATAATACATAATTTCATTGCAAAAAATCTTTGTGACAGGTTAGCCTTTGTCACCCAAGCATTACTCCAGAGACAATCCTGAAATTACATCACATTTCCACTAATTACACGAACTGGTGTCATGTCACATTCCTTCTCTAAACATATCATATATTCAGAGGGCTCAAACTACCAAGTTGTAGCACACACAGGCAACTGGCTCTAGTACATCTCTGTTTTCTCCATAGATGGGGCAGGCTTGGGGGCTAACCAGATCCTCTGCACCCTGTGAGTGTGGGAGGCTTGAGCACTCTGACTAGGAATTCTGTGACAGCATTACATGGCATGGGGTGTATCTGGGTCTCTGGGCAATCACTGTGTCTAGAGTGACTGTGTCTAACTCAGAGCCCCTGATGGCCTGGGGCAGGTCATTGCAGAAGGTTTCTTGCTCACATTGAAGACTATACAGATACTTCGTAAAATTCATGTGCCAGCATGGGTGAGAATTGTACTCTCTATAGGCTAATCCCAGTCATTGGTCACCTTGGAAGACAGGAGGTGAGACTGTGATCTCACCAACAGGCAGGATCATACCCTCTTGCCCTGTTTACAAAAGAGGATATCTACCACATCCAATCTGGGTGTCACTCTGAATACTTGCTCCACACTGGAGTATTGACCAGGGCTCCCTGACACCACCCAGCACATGCCTCTGTGTAGTTTCTGAAGGAATTGACATTACACTAAGCCTCAAAGGTATAGTTCAAAGATAAAACATATCAGAGGGAAAAAAATCAACAAGTATTTCCACAAATTCCTAAAAGTAAATGCAGATACACAAGAAACAAGAACAAGGAAGATAATATGACTCCCCCAAAGCAACACAACAACACTTCAATATTAGAACGTAAAGACTAAGGCATTGATGAAATGCCTGAAAAAGAATGAAAGAAGAATGATCATAGGTGTATTCAGAAGCAATGAGAAGAAAACTCATGAATTGCAGATCCATACATGATACGGATGAAAAATTTACCATGAGATACAGATTTTGAAGAGAAGTCAAATGGATACATTATTTTTTGACTTTTAAAAATTTTATTTAATGGGTACTGCCTGCAGTGCCAGCATTCTATATGGGTGCCGGATTGAGTCCCAGCTGCTTCACTTCTGATCCAGCTCTCTGCTATGGCCTGGGAAAGCAGTAGAAGAGGTTCCAAGTCCTTGGGCCCCTGCACCCATGTGGGAGACCCAGAAAAAGCTCCTGGCTCCTGGCTTCAGATCGGCGCAGCTCCTGATGTTGCAGCCATCTGGGGAGTGAACCAACAGTTGGAAAATCTCTCTCTCTCTCTCCCTCTCTCTCTGCCTCTGCCTCTCTGTTGTAACTATGCCTTTCAAATAAATAAATATTTTAAAAATTTTATTTAAAGTATAAATATTTCATATGTTTCCTATATAGAAATTCAGGAACATAGTGATACTTTCTGCCCTACGCTCCCTCTCACCCATGCTCCTACACTTCTTCCTCCTCCCTCTCCTATTCCCATTCCTATTTTTTACAAAGATATGTTTTCAATTAACTTTATACTCATAATATTAACCCTACATTAAGTAAAGAGTTCAACAAATAGTATGAAAAATAAATCAATGTCCCTCAACAATTGAGACAAGGGCTGTTCAAAATCATCACATCTCAAAGTGTCAATAACACTCCTATAGATTGATTACCTTCTAAGTACTCTATTAGTTACCACAGATGTGGGAGAACATATAGTGTTTGTCTTTTGGGGACTGGCTTATGTCATTAAGTATAATGGTTTCCAGTTGCAATCATTTTGTAGCAAATGACAGGATTTCTTTTTTTGTTTTTACCAGTGTGTAGTATTATCTAGAGTATATATACCATAATTTCTCTATCCAGTCTTCAGCTGATAGACATCTGGATTGATTCTATATCTTAGCTATTGTGAGTTGAGTTGCAAAAGACAAGGGAGTACAGATCAGCCTCTTATACACTGATTTCATCATTTGGGAAAATTTCCTGCAGTGGGATGACTGGGTAATATGGTAGGTCCATATTCAGATTTCTGAGGTATTTCCTACTGTCTTCCACAGTGCTTACATCAGTTCACATTCCCACCAAGAGCAGATTAGGTACTTGTTTCCTCACATCCTTGCCAGAATGTGTTGTTTATTGATTTCCCTACAAGAGCTATTCTAACCAGAATGAGGTGAATCCTCACGGTAGTTTTGACATTTATTTCCCTGATCATTAGTGATCCTGAGCAGTTTTTCATGTGTCTGTTGGCCATTTGAATTTCCTCGCTTAAAAAATGCCTGTTCAATCCTTTGCTCCTTTGCACGTTTCTTAACTGGATTGTTTATTTTGTTGTTAAATTTCTTGAGCTCTTTATAGATTCTGGATGTTAACTCTTTATCAGTTGCATAGTTTATAAATACTTTCTCCTATTCTGTCAAAAGCCTCTTCACTTTGCCGAATATTTCTTTTTCAGTGCTTTTTCAGAAGCTTCTCATCTTGATATAATTCCACTTCTCAGTTTTGGCTTTGATTGCCTGTGCTTCTGGGGTCTTTTCCAGAAAGTCATTGTCTATGCCAATGACTTGCAGAGTTTCCCTCAACCTTCTCTAGTAATTTGATAGTATCAGATTATAGATTTAGATCTTTAAACAATTTTGAGTAGATTTTTGTGTAAAGGTTAAAGTAGGGGTCTAGTTTCATAACTGTGCACAGAGACCCAGTTTCCTCAGGACCATTTGTTGAAGAGACTGTCCTTGCTCTAGGGACTGATTTTAACTCCTTTGTCAAAGGTAAGTTGGATGTAGATATGTGGATTGATTTCTGGAGTTTCTATTCTCTTCCATTGGTCTATCCATCTGTTTTTGTTCTAGTAGCATTATGTTTTGATTATAATTGCCCTGTAGTATGTCTTTAAATCAAGTATTGGGGATTGGATTAAAATGGTGGAATAGGGAAGGAGCTTAGTCCTCTAGTCTAGGAGAAGATAGCTTTTTTAAAAGTGGAGAGAGTGCATTCTCAGGGAAGATTTATGTAAAAAATGGCAAAAAAGGGACACTATGGACCTACATGGAGGGTATAGACACATACAACTCAGGGCCCCAGCAGCCAAGAACTTCCGTATCACATCTGGAGTGGGGTGACCAGTCTGCAGCAGCCAAAGTCACTGGCAATAAATCTACAGGAACTTAAAAATCTAGCTTGGATCCCTGTGGGGGACAGTGTGCCTGCCAAATGAGAGGAGAATGGGGGAGGGGGGGACTTGTTTCTCTCTCCCCGACCACTCTGCATCTGGCATCCTGCTGATAGAGGATGGGTGCCATTTTGAACATACATAACAGCTGCATCAGCTCATGTCCATACACCCAGCAACCAGCCAGTTGGAGACACCTAGTCTGGTGGGGAGAACTGACAGGAAGCTGGGTCTCATGACTGTGGAAGGCTGTGGACCAGGACTGTGAAAACATTGTGGCTGTGTGGGAGGGCTCAGGGTGTTGCTAGGACTTTGGACAGTCACTGTGGAAGGCTCCACATGCTCAAGGCTCCCTGATTCCCTGGTGGTGAGGGCCATTGCTACAGAATCTGTGCTTACACCAAGGACTGCACAGATGCTTTGTGTGGTTCTTGTGGCAGTGCAGATGAATACTGTACCCACAGGGGATAGCGCCCATTTGAGGAGAGGAGGTGAGCTGAGCTATGCCAACAGAACAGAACAAATCTCCCCCTTGATTAAAAAAAGAGAGAGAGATTTACCACACCCAATCTGGGTGTCACCTTGGACACACACTTTACCCAGAACGCTGAACAGTGCCCCCTGGCCACAGCTACCACATGCCTCTAGGTATTCATTGAAAAAGTGGACCTCCACTAATCCACAGAGGAAGAGTCCAAA